CTATAGTCACTGTCTGGAGTTCCTCTCCTCCGATTCCATCCTAGACCCCCTCCTATCCGGCTCCCGCCCCCTTGCACAACACTGAAACCACTCTCACCAAAGTCTCTAACGACCTCTTCCTGGCCAGATCCTATGGCATCTATGTGATCCTCATCCTCCTTGTGCTAGCCTCATGCTCCTCCTTCTGACACCACTGACCACTCCTGTCTCCATTAAATCTCGGCTTTCACAGCTCCCTCCTCTTCCACTTCTCCTCCTGCCTTTCTAATCACTTCTTCCGTATCTGTTTTGTTGGGTTGGTCTCTTCCTATCTCTCTCTTTCAGAGAACATCCCCCAAAGCTCAGTGCTTGCCCCCTGCTCTCCTCTCTCCACACGGTGCCTCTAGTAGCTCTTATCTACATGCCTGGCTTAAGTTACCACCTCTGTGCCAATGTCTCTCAAACTCCTTCACCGCTAACGACTCTTCCCCCTCCATCCCATCCCACATCTCGGCCTGTCTGACATCTCCTCCTTGTCGATGTCCAGAGGGCAACTCAACAGCTGAATGTTTAATCACTTCCGCACCCCTCACAGCCCATCCCACTTCCTAGTTTCTTCATCCCTCTGGATAACATCCCAGAGTCAGGGCACTGTGGCTGCTCTCCCTCCCTCCCTGCCTCCCATCCCGCACACTTGGCCCACCAGAGCAAGGTACCAGGATCTCTGCCCCTCCTGTGGGCCAGAGATTGTGGCCCTGTGGTGGGTTATGAAGCCTGGGCTGGCTGGAAGGAACTCAGAGCAGAGTGGGAGGCCTGGGGTCTGGGCCCTGCTCGAGGTGGCTTCTTTCAGGACGGGTCCAGGGGGTATTTCCCCTGCTCTGACTGGGAGAACCACTCCATGATGTAAGCCCAGGTCGGGGGTTGGGGAGAGGAGAAAAAACTATCCTGTAGTTTTAAAGTACAATGTTGGCCACCCTAACAACTCGCCCATTCTCCAAATCAATCAGGCCAGAAATCTGGGCATCGTCTCTGACTCAGCCTCTCTCTGGGCCCCCATGTCCTGACCTCATCCCAGTCTCCCTGCTCCTGCGTACATAACACGTCACAGATTCAGCCTCTTCTGTCTGTCCTGACAGCCCAGGCTCTCGTTCAGGCCCATCATCTCACACCTCCACTGCTGTGATCTCCTCCTGTCCAGCCTTGACACCAGCTGCTTTGTCCCCTCACGTCCATCCAAAACACGGCTGCTAGGATCAGCCTTCAGGGGCTTGTCTCTGCTACCACATCCACCACTTGATATCCCTCCACTGAGACCCCCCTTCAGCTCCACTCCCACACAAGCTCCTTGTCTTTGCCTTTAGGTCCCTCACCAGTTAGTCCCACCCTGTCTGTCAGATCCACCAGCATCACTGAGTGATCGGTGCCGCCTTCCCCTCCGCCAATGATGGCAGCCTGCAGGGCCAGTTCTAGGGGTGGGCAAGCGGGGCCATCACCCTCGGCACCGGCTTCCAGGGAGAACCGTACTGACGCTGGGCTTTTTATTGTTTTTTCTCTGACAGCCTGGGTAGGGTGACCAGATAGTAAGCGTGAAAAATCTGGACACTTTTTTTCAGGGAGGGGGGATTTAGTTGCATATATTAGACAAAGCCCATTATATTGGGATGGTCCTGATAATATTGGGATGTCTGGTCACCCTCAGTTTGGGTCATCTGCCTGTCTGCTTCTCCCTTAAACACCTTTGAGTTTTCTCCCACTCTTATTCCATGTATGGAAAAATGTTCCATCAGTATTTGTAAAGCTTTCCCCTTATCCTCTCTTAAATCTCTCCTCCAAACCCAGCTGTGCTGCGGCCCCTGGAATCTCTCCTGTCTGGCACTGGCTGGGCACCTGGTGAGCTGGGCTTTGGTTTATTTTGGGTTTGTTTTTATCATTACCTCCCTCTCCCAACCCCTTCACTTGTCTATTTCATCCCCCTGTTGTACCCGGTTGGCCATGCAGAGGGTGAGCTCCCTGGGGCACGGACTTTGTTAGATGCAGTTTGTGTGGATTGAATGGAGACAGTGGGTGTGTCTGGGAGCCATAGAAGAGGATGTTGTATTAATAGTTGCAGGCTATAGTGAAGACCTCTGCTTCAGGGATGGAGAGAAAAGGACGATCCTGGAGATAACACTCAGGAAAGAGCAGTGGTGTTTGGAAATGGCCGGGGTGTGCACAGGGAGGAATCAAAAATAACCCTGAAATTGTGGGCGCTGAGATTTGGCCAGGAAGATCATTAGGGACCCCAGTGAGAGCCGTCTGACTGGAGTGGGAAGGAGGGATGTCAGACTGGAAGGGATCTAAGACAATTGGAGGCATAAGCATTGTTTGCAGACTGGGTTCACTGAGTTCAGAGATAAAGGGAAGGAGGGAAATGGGGCAGTACCTGGAGGGGTGGGTGGGGAAGAGGGGCAGGTTTCTGAGTAAAGTTATAGCTGGGCATAGATATTTTCAAGGTCAGGACCCTAGATTGTAAACTCTTTGGAGTAGGGATTGTGTCATTTTACAGTCTGGAGTGTGTGGGTGTACGGGACCTAGCACTGTGGGGCCCAGCTCTGAGTGTGACCTCTAGATGCTACTAGAATGCAAATAACAATATGCAGTGGGGCAGGAGACTGGCCCTGGGATATGGAGTTATGGCAGGGGATGGGGCTTAAAGGTGTGTGTGTCTGTGCAGGGGATGGGGGATGAAGAGGGTTAGGTGCGGGGGGGTTGCAGGGATCAATGTGGGAGGGACAGAGAGTCGTGATGTGGAGCCAGGAAGCCCTGCTCTGTGGTCCATGTTGATCTGTGCAGTATCCGAGGTGTATAAGAAGTAAATGTAACAGCTGGGGCAGGACATGTTTAGGGTTGCCAGGCATCTGGTTTTCAACCAGAACACCCGGTTGAAAAGGGACCCTGGCAACTCTGGTCAGCATCGCCGACCGGGGCGTTAAAAGTCTGGTCAGCGGCACAGCAGGGACCCCGGGCTAAGGCAGGCTCCCGGAAGCGGCTGCCAGATCCCTGTGGCCCACAGGCGCATGAGCAGCCAGGGGAAGCTTTGTGTACTGCCCACGCCCCGAGTGCCAGCTCCGCAGCTCCCATTGGCTGGGAATTGTGACCATTGGGAGCTGCAGAGGCAGCGCCTGGGGCCACGAAGGCAGCGTAAAAAGCCTCCCTGGCCACCCATGCACCTAAGTGCCTCAGGGACCTGGCGACTGCTTCCCAGAGCTGTGGTAAGCACTGCAGGCACCCCGCACCCCCTCCTGCACCCCAACCCCCTGCCCCAGCCCGGAGTTCCCTCCTGCACCCAAACTCCCTCCCAGAGCCTGCAGCCTGCACCCTCACACCCCAACCCCCTGCCCCGGTACAGAACCCCCTCCTGCACCCCAAACCCCTCATCCCTGGCCCCACCCCAGAACCCACACCCACAGCTGGAGCCCACACCGCCTACCACACCCCAACACCCTGCCCCAGTCCGGTGAAAGTGAGTGGGGGGGGGACAACGAGCGAGTGAAAGGGGGGAATGTAACAAGCGGGGGACGGGGCCTCAGGGAAGGGGTGGAGTCTCGGGAAAGGGGTGTTCGGTTTTGTGCAATTAGAAAGTTGGCAACCCTAGACAGGTTGGGTCCCTGCCTCCATAATGTAAGGGGACTGTTGCCCCCTTCCTAACATTCAGTGGGGGGGTTTTGGTTGCTAGCTCCCAGCACTGAAAGGGGAAGCGTGGATGGGAAATCAGGAACCTGAGACTGACAGTCCCCAGGAACAATGGGGAGATGCCAATGCTCCAGGTCAGCCTGACTGACAGGGCAGGCAGGCTAATCAGGGAGTCAGGAGGGTCCTGTCCTCCATGTGAGCTGGAATGGCCTGGGTCAGACAGAGTGGGGCCGAGCTAAGGAGAGAGCAGGGGCCCGAGCTAAGCTGTTGGAAGCAGAGCTGCAGCCCCAAAGCCAGAGCACAGCCTGGAGAGAGCAGACCTGTCCTGGGGGCAGAGCTGCAGCAACCAGAGCCAGAGGGGCCAGACAAGCAGTCCAGGGAGCTGGAGGCAGAGCAGCAGCAGCAGCCGGGCTGAGGCCGAGTGGAGCTGGAGCTGGAGCTGGGGCTGGAGCAGTCCGGAGCTGGGTGTGGTGAGCAGCTGGGGAGAGTGAGGGGGACCCTGGGCAGTGGGCCCAGCACAGGGAGACGCCTCAGCCAAGAGGCTCTGCAGGCCAGACTTGGAGGGGGATCATAACCCCGACCGGGCAGGGGTGATGCTGGGAAGAAGGATCCTGCCACCTAGAGCCTGAGAGCGTGTGGCCACCACCAGAGCAAGTGTCCAACCTGCAGCGTCTCTGCAGCACAGCCAGGGCCTGAGAAGGAGCCTGGGACCTACAAGGAACAGACTGAACTGCCCTGACGTTCCAGAGACACTGTTTGTGATGTTCCCTGCCACAGAGCGGGGTGATGTGTTTTCCTTTCACTTTTCCTATTTTTCCTTATTCTTTTCTTTAGATTAATTGTTAATTAAACAACTTGTATTTGCTTTAAATTGTATGAAATGATCAGTGGGTCAGGGAGGTGCCCAGTGCAGAGAGAGTACCCCGGAGTGGGGATACCCTAGCCCCTGTCCCAGGTGACCACAGCAGGATTGGGGGTCGAGCCCCCCAGGAATCCTGGGCCCAGTCTTGTTGTGGTTAGGAGGACTCTGCCAGAAAGGAGAGTGGAAGGGGAGTCCTCAAGGGCAGGGAGGCCTCTGGGTAAAGGAAGTGGGAGCGAGGACTCGGATCCTTTCGCCAGCCCACTTCACCGGGGTAATGTAGAAGCCAGGAAAGTTCCCCACAATAGTGGGACCATTCCCCCGCTTACAAATGTTTTGCAAGATTTGTCCAGAAGATGCTAAGCAGAGCACAGCACAGGAGCTGGCTTCTTATTGTATCACCAGTGAGGAAGGCGTTGCAGTTAGCTTGACTATTGTGCATTAAGTTTTGAGACTCAGCATTAATTCATGATGTCTTTTTACTTTCCAGCGGAATACGAGGCAGTGAAAGGTATGTGTGCTTCTACTAGTTTTGATTATCCTTTAACTTGGAAAAGGAACACTCAGAACTATGTGTGCAAAGAAATGTTAGTGTAAAAAATTAATGAGTTACTGTTACAGGTAACGTACACGACAAGGGGAAATCCAGATATTATCCAGAAATAATGGATGGAAAATTTGTGGTATTGAAATATGAATATTAACAGTTTTATTTTTCACAACATCAACCCTTGGAAATACTCTTAAACACAAACAAACAAACTTCACTCCCTGACACCATGGACACCCTGTAACAAGAACAATAATTATTTTATACCAATAGGGCCCAGCCGTGTGAGTTCTCCACAGACATGCTCCCACACCCATTGATTTGCTTGATGCAGGACTGGGCCCCCTGAGCCCTGTTGTCTTCCACACACAACAGCTGTAGGATCAGGCACATGGGTCTGATCCCATTAAAGCCAGCAGGAGTTGCAGGCGCTAAGCACCTCTTGGGGTCACACCTCCATCATCCACATTATGGAAACACTTCTAAAGGAAGAGTTCTTTGATCTGGAGACCCAGATTTTCTGCTGTGCCAGGATCTGCTCGGGGTGCAGGGTAGGGGCAGTGAGGGAGCTGGTTGTGGCTCCCTGATTCTCAGGCTGCCCCAGGGGCTGCTCTAATTTGCTCCAGCTGGCTGTGGTCCTCGAGGTTGTTGATTGTGCTCTGTTCTGTCCCAGCACACCTCCTCCCAACCCCTCCCACTCTCACAAGCCTCCTACACCAGAATGGGGGGGTAGTTGACACAGGACCCAGCTACACTGCTTTACCCCAGCTGAGCTCTTCCTATGCCAGGGGAATTCGCTGTTATCCAGGGCCTGGTTCCTGCCAGTCTGCGCCATCCCTGCACACAGTGACCGGATCAGGGGAGAGAACCGGACCCTTTATCACTATGGGCCCCATTCTGCCCCCCTGACTCACATGAGTGATCCTCACAGGTGCAGTCCCATTGATTTCTGGGGGAGGATTTGCAGGGTCAGGTGTGATAAAGCAGAAGCCCAAACTACTGATTAGGAGCCTAATCCTGGTGTCCTTACTCAGGCAAAATTCCCACTGAAGCCAATGTAATTTGGATTTAGAACTTGGAACTTATGTAATTGAGAATCTCTCCTATTGATTAATTTATGTTCTTTTTTCCCTTTTCTCCCCTCTCATTCCCATGGACCCTCTGGCAGAACTGGGTAAGCTCCATTTCTGGTTTGTGGGGTTTGTTTTTCACAGTATGTAACTTGTCGAGTCTGTATTTCAATTCTGTAAATTCCCATGTCTGATTATTTCAGGACTCACCAGAGCCCGAAGATACGCAGGTAACTAACGCTGATACTGCTTCAGTCACTCTCAGTCCCATTCCCCTGGGATATTCGGTCCCTGCTCAGTCCTCTTACAGCTCTCACAATAACTAAGGGGTCGGGCAAAATGTCATTGTCTGTGTGAAAGTCTGAGGGTTTGATTATTCACATCCCCCGCTAGGTTACCTGCTGTGGGGATGAGCTGGTGCAACCAGACTATTGTTTTACTGCACTCTGTTTCTGTGATATAACCTCCAGTGAATGAATTGTTTATTTCACTGCTGACCATTTTTGGCAGAAACATCCAGTTGATGAGCTCATCCAACCCTGCTGGGTGCAATAGCAGAGTGGGTGGAGGGCAGAGGGGCAGCTGGTGGCTCTAGAAGAGTTGCTGGGGTGAGAAACAAGGAATTTAAAGCTCCTCTCCCCACACTTGTCAGCGTGGAGAATTCCTGGGGATGAGCCCAGCATAGCTAGTGTGGAATATTCTGCATTCATATTCTTGCAATGTAGATTACCACAAACAAGACAAGGGCTCTCTTAGCATGGAATAAGAGTGTCCACACAGGCAGCCAATGCTGACTAGCTGTTCTGCACTAGCCACTCAGGGCTTTTCCCCATGTAAACAAGCCCTTAAAGCTACACCCAAGTGAAAGAGGAGAAGCATCCCCTCAGGTTCCCTCCTGGGGACCACAAGCCCTGACTGCCCTCTGCTGTAGCAAAGCTGTGTCTAGATCTGCTGGTTCCTAGGTCAGCACTTTAACCACAAGCACGGGTGGCAGGTTTGTAGAAATGTTGGTAGTGCCCAGAACCTGCCCCTGCCCAAACTCCGCTCCCCAACTCCTCCCCCCACATGCCCAAGGCTCTGGGAGGGAGTTTGGGTGAGGGAGGAGGTCTGGGGTGCAGGTCCTAGGCTGGGGCAGGGGATTGGGGTGCTGGGTGCAGGCTCTGGCAGGGAGTTTGGGGATGGGAGGGGTGGAGAGGGATGGGGTGCAGGGGTGAGGGCTGTGGCTGCAGATGAGGGGTTTGGAGTGTGGGGGAGCTCAGGGTGAGAGTAGGGGCGTAGGGAGTGAGGGCTCTGGCTGGGGATAAGGTGTTTGGGGTGTGGGAGGGGCTCAGCGCTAGAGTAGAGGGTTGAGAGTGCAGGGGGGTGAAAGCTCTGGCTGGGGGTGTGGGCTCGTGGGGTGGGGCAGGGCTGGGAATGAGTTTGGGGTGCAGGCAGGCTGCTCTGGGACA